TGGGTTCAAACCCAGCCCTGGCCAAAAACTGCAAAAAAAAAAAAAAAGAATTGCTAGCAAACTAAATCTAACAGCACATCAAAAAGATAATACACCATGATCAAGTGGTTCAACATATGTAAATCAATAAACACAATATATCACATCAAAAGAATGATGCATAAAGCCATATGATCATCTCTATAGATGGAGAAAAAGCACATGATAGAATTCAACTTCACTTCATGATAAAAATCTCTCAATAAACTAGACATAAAAGGAATATACCACAATGTAATAAAGACCACATATAACAAACGCACAGCTAACATTATAGTGAAAGAAAAAGCTGAAAGCCTTTCCTCTAAGCTAGTAATTCTCAACCTTCCTAATGCTGCGACTCTTTAATACAGTTCTTGACCCACAGGTTGAGAACTGCTGTTCTGAGCAGTGGAACAGCACAAGGACACCCACTTTCACTGCTCCTATTCAACAGAGTACTGGAAGCCCTAGCCAGAGCAATCAGTCATGAGATAAATAAAAGGCATCCACGCTTGAAATGAGGATGTCAAATTATGTCTCTTTGCAGATGACATAACCTTATATCTGGAAAAATCTGCAGATTCCACCAAAAAAAAATCAGATTTGATAAATTCAATAAAGTTGTAGGGTATAAAATATAAATACAAAATCAGTAGCATTTCTATACACCAATAACAAGGTAGCTAAGAAAGAAATCATGAAAGCAATCCCATTTACAATAGCTACAACCCCGCCAGGGATAAATTTAACCAAGGAGGTGGAAGAACTGTACAAAGAAAACTTTAAGGTCGGCACCTGTGGCTCAAAGGAGTAGGGCTCTGGCCCCATATGCCAGAGGTGGTGGGTTCAAACCTAGCCCCAGCCAAAAACTGCAAAAAAAAAAAAAAAAAAAATTATGTCATTTGCAGCAACATGGATGGAGCAAGGGGTTTTTGTGTTAAGTGAAATAGCCAGGCATAGAAAGGTAAATAGACTCTCATTCATACAGGGGAGGTGAAAAACTTGATCTCATGGAGGCAGAGAATAGAATGATAGACACGAGAGGTTGGGAAGAACATGTGTTGAAAGGAGGGATAAAGAGAGGGTAGTTAATAGGTACAAACAGTTGATTAGAAGGAATAAGATCAATGTTTGATAGCAGAGTAGGGTGACATAGTTAACAACAATCGAAATAACCTTGGGGTTATGAAAAAATAAACTTGGACCCACTCAGATGCTATTAATTGGTGATTTATTCACACCTGCACAGGGGGCTGTTGTTCTAAGACAAGTGGCCCTGCAGTGCGGGATTTTTTTTGTCTTTTATACCTTTTTTTTTTTCTGTGTAGTTTAAGCGAGGTGGGGGAAGGGAAGGGTGGTGGTGGTGGGGGATGAGGAACGTTGCTATTGGCAGGGTTACAGCTTGGTTGTCAATGGATATATCTCATATCACAATGGTTATGATTATATAACAATAATTGATCAATGGATATATCTTAAATCACAATGGTTATGGTTATACAACAGTAATTAATCAAGCCTCAGTTAGTGTTTCACCATTGTTCATCTACTGAGCAAGCCTTGGTGAGTGTTTCACCATTGTTTATCTGCTGAGAACTTGGGGGTTTTGTGAAACTTGGGACTTTCCGTGCCTCTTTGAATTCTGGAGAACATGGGAATGGGCTGGGAGGAGCAGGGGAACGGGAGAGGGCAGGAGGATGTCCGTGGGGTAGGGGAACGGAGAGGGTAGGGGAACAGGAGCTTGCCTGTAGGGCGGGGGAATGGGAGAAGCCAGTGGGAACTGGAGGGAACAGGAACTCACAACACAATGTATTGTATATTTCAAAATAGCTGGAAGAGAAGACTTGCGATGTTCTCAATGCATAGAAATGATAAATACTCAAGGTGATGGACACCCCAAATTCCCTGACTTGATCATTATACATTCTATGTATGTAGCAAAACATCACATATCCCTCATAAATATGTTACAAATATTATGTATCAAGAAAACAAATTTAAAAAAAGGTGAAAGAATACACAACTAAATGCAAGACATCTGAGTCTCCATTGGCAGGTGTTAAAAGATAGCTCACTCCCTCTGCTGATCTTCAGGTGCCCTTGAACTGAAGGTGTCTTTGGGGGGAAATACAACATCCCTGGCTCTATCCTTCAGCTAGCAGGAATAAAGACTGGCCTGAGACCTCCACCTGCTCCACCTTCAGTACCTTTCCCCCACTTCTCAGTCTGGCCCCAAGTTTCTAACTGGATATTATCAGGATTCTTCTCCTCGTGCCCCTTATCTTGATCACATCAGTCTCCCCGAGAAGCCTAGGCCTCTGGGTCATCCCTCCTCCCCAAAACCTTCCGTTGTGCCTTTTGGAACTCATATTCTGTTATTCCCTAAATCACCCACATCCTGAGTAAGTGCTCCTTCACTTTCTTCCTTCCTTTCTTTCTTTTTTTTTTTTTTTGTAGGGACAGTCTCACTTTATTGCCCTCAGTAGAGTGCTGTGGCATCACACAGCTCACAGCAACCTCCAACTCCTGGGCTTAGGTGATTCTCTTGCCTCAGACTCCTGAATAGCTGGGACCATAGGTGCATGCCACAATGCTGGGCCATTTTTTTGTTGCAGTTTGGCTGGGGCTGGGTTTGAACCTACCATCCTCTGTATATGGGGCAGGAGCCCTACCCACTGAGCCACAGGTGCCACCCTCCTTCACTTTCTTATTCCAATGGAATCTTGGCTTCCTCCTGAGGATGCTGCCTCTCCTGCAGGCTCTTTAGTTCTGGTCTTTCTATCTTGGTAGCACTAGGCTGGGAGGTGGGGTAGGTCCCCTCCCGGGCCCTCGTTGCTGCTTCTAGACCATCCTTCCCTCTAGAAAAGCACCCAGCACTGAGCTGCCTGTCATGCCCAGCTGCATTCCTGGACTCCCCTCCTGTGCCCCCTCCTGGACATTGGCCCCCCCCCCAATTCTTGCATCAGTTTCCCCTTTCTAATGGATTTTTCTTGTCAGCTCATGAAATGCTTTTATTTCTCCCATCTTAAAAAATAATGCCCCCTTTATCATCCCAACTTCTCTCCCAACTATGCCCCATTTTTCTCCTTGAAAATACCTTGAAGAGTCATCCATACTTGAGGTTAGAGCCAGCTCTGTGAGGCTCCTACTGATGCCAGAGCTCTAGATCCAGCCTCCTACCAGGTTAAGGACACACCTATGGGAGTCCTATGACACTCCCTTGGCTCTGCCAGATCAAGGTGGAGACATAGCTTCCGGCTAGCAATGTGGCAAAGATACAGCTGAGTTCTTTGGCCCTGATCTCCCTTATTCCTTATGTGTTAATCTGCACACTAAAAATAATTTTGAAATTAATATATACTGGGCAAACCCATTCATTTTCTTTTAAATGTGCAAAACCTTCACATGAAAATCTTTGAATACACAACACAAAGGCCCATCTTCTTTGGAAAACATCAACCATTCCCAAGGTGAAAGGCAGCATAAGCATGTCCTTAAGTAAGCAGTACAGTCACAAAAGTACCGAGCTGGAGAAATAAAAAGATTTGGGAGATTATTATTGTGTTTTTAGGAATGAATCACTACTTGTCTGAACTGTGAGGAGGCTGAGGGTGTTTTTAATTTAATGGATTAATCATTTACGACTGAAGTTCTTGCTCCTTTCTATGAAAGCAATGCAGGAGGTTTGCACAAAGTTATAAATCATGTTGGCATTTGCGCTACATCTCTGGTGAGCCCAGGCTATGGGTAAGTTATACTAATAATTTGAGAGAAGTAGTTGCCCTGAATGGTTCCCTTTAGGCAACCCAGTTGGGGCAGGGTCATGGCAGGGGAAATCGCAGAAGATAGTGGCCTTGCCTGTGTATGGGATCCTGTGTCTGCCACCAGGGACCCAGGGAGTAGGGCAGCTCCAGGTAGAAGAAACTGTATTTTATTCCTGGCTTGGTAATTTTCTCTGGGTCTTGATTTTCCCATCTGTATAATGGGCTGGAGGCTCTCAGAAGGGCTCCCAGCTTTGACATCTGTGTCTATCAACTGTAGCTAAATATGGCTCGAGACAACCCAAAATCTCCCCCATGTCTGTTCCACCTCTATCTTTGAACTGCATCCCCTGCTAGGCATTTTCTAAGCATTTTATACATATTATATCTCATTAGGCCAGGTTGAGGCAGCCAGCAATGTGACTCAGAAGTCAGAGTCTGGGCTCTTACTCCTGAATGACACCTGTCAGTGTGTGACCCTGGGCAAGTGACCTTACTTAGAAACTCCTCCATAGGGTGGGTTGAAATATATCAACTGGGCAGGTCCACATGAAGCACTTAGCATGGGGACTAGCCACTGTGAACACTCAGGAAGCATCAGCTACTGTAGTTACTGATGCAGTGGGTGGGAGTTGTTCTTCCCAGTTCTTAGGAGTCCTGGCAATACAGGGCCCTGTGAGAAGCAAAGAAAACCATCCAACCCCCAGTTTCTGTCCTGGCTTGGCCTAAGATGGGGCTCATTGTGACGCTGGGGAGGGAGATGGGCATGAGCTATTGTTGGAGGAAATAACACCCGCCAGCCAAATAAGTGATGCAGTTCCATCCCACCAAGAAGAGGAAGGGCTGGCACGAGACAGGTTCTGCTCTGGCTGGATCCTCAGGCCACAGTGGTCACCACTGCTGCACTGCCTTCGGGACACACCCCACACTCTACAGGGGCTGATGGGACCCCGGGTGCCCAGTGTGACTTGTCCAGTGCCTCACCCCGTCAGCACTTGGATTCATTTTATCTGAGGAGGCTTTGGGTGAAGAGGGACATGAATATTAGTCCACACACTTTGTTATTTCCTCATTGTTCCCTTTACTTATAAGAGAGATGGGATATTTGGGGGTTGGATATTTCTCTAAGAAGGCAGAATACAGGAAGGGTGAATGTTGCTCTGAGCAGCATTTTGGGAAGGCTTGGAGGGGACAACATGCATGGAGCCATTTACTAACCATTCACCTGCAGGACGTGGGTCTGGAACAGCTCCTCGTGGCCCGAGGCGTGGCAGGTGTAATTGCCCATGTGGATGGTGGTCACCTTGGTGATGTACAGGGAGTCATCCTCTCCGAAGTCCTGTGTGAGGCAAAGAAGACAATAGATTGGCTTCTTTATGGAGTAGGCTGGGAAGGCAAGCCCTGTCTCCTGGTTTTCAAGGGAAATGGAGACTGCAGCAGGGAGAGAGTTTCTTCTTGCCCATCCCTCACTCAGCCAGAGCTGCTTGTGGGGCTGAATTGCCCTGGGCAGCAGTGACGCTATCCCTCCTCCACGCTGCCGGCCCAGGCCCCATATTTGTTTAAGGCCTCATGCCCCTGGCATCTCCTCTGTGTGCCCAGCTTGGACATGTCCCCAGCACACTTCTCTCAGTTTTGACAGCCCATGTGCCTCTCAAGTTCATCTTGCTGACCACCTGTCTCATAGGGGTCTGGCCCTGTTTCTGGGGGGGAGCCCTTGTTTAGAGTAGGGCTTGGCAAATGTTAAGGGACAGAAAATACACATTTTGGTCATCGTGGGTTAGCATGGGTAGGCTTTCTGTCAGCTACTTAACTTTGCCATCACTGTGTGAACATAATTAATGAGTGTGGCTATGTTCCAACGAAATTTTGTTTAAAGTTGGTAGACAGGATTTGGGCCATGGGCTATCATTTTCCTTCATTATGGTTAAATCCCTACTCAGTCCCAACATAATTTCAGGCAGCTTGCAGAGATCTGGGTAATCCGAGGAAAGGGAAATTGAACTGTGAAGAAAATGGAGCCAACAACAACAGCAGAAACCCAAGGGCACAGATGTAAGAGAGCCAGGGAGGGCTGATGCCCAGGGGCTCCATAAGAAATGGGCCAATGAGCCTTGGCACTGTCATCTCTGCAGCCTAACAATGCGGGGTCTTATTGGCCAGTGCATAGAGGGGTTGGCAGAGGCAGGCATCAGGCTGCACGGGAGTTCCCTGACAAGCCCTGCACACCAAGCACTTCCCAGACAGCTTCACTCTCTCTTGCAGAACTGTGCACAGTGCCGGCCCCATGTAGATGCCAACTTCAGATGTGCTGGAGATTGGAATTACTAGTATTCCACGGAGATCCCTCATCAAGTTCGCTTGAGGACATGGTGTTCACAGTTGACAGGACAGAGAGGGCCCGGGCCTGCTGAGAAAGAGGGCTATGCAAGGAATGATGGGGAATCCAGCAGCTGGGACTCAGGACACTCAGGACACCCTGGGGTGTAGCTTGAGCTCTGCCACTGACCAGATGGCCCCTGGGCACAGTTTTCTCCATCTCTAAGTTGTGGACAGTACATTGCCCTATCTGCTTTACAGGGTTTTGGGAGATTTGGTGGAAGAATTCATATGAACATGTTCTCTAATATAGGAAGCATGACGTACATGGGGGATGCTATTTTCCTTATCATTATTATTATCACTTTTTAAAAAGATAGGTTCTCACTCTGTTACCCTGGCTGGGGTACAGTAGCATGATCATAGCCCACTGCAGCCTTGAACTCTTGGGCTCAGGTAATCCTCCTGCCTATGTCTCTTGAGAAGGTGAGAATACAAGGTAGGCACCACCATGGCTGGCTAATTTTTATTTAAATTTTTTTATAGAGACAAGGTGACAAGGTGTGCCTATGTTGCTCAGGCTGGTCTTAAATTCCTGGCCTCATCCAGTCCTCCTGCCTCTGTCTCTGAAATCACTGGGTTTATACCCACCATGCCTAGACTCTTATTATTAAAGGAAGATGCAAAATTTCTGTTGACCCCTAGAGAAAATAACAAATCATCCTTCTGCCATTCTCTTGTCATTTCTTTTTTTTTATTTTGAGACAGAGTCTCCCTTGGTCACCCTTGGTAGAGTGACATGGTGTCCTAGCTCATAGCAACCTTAGCCTCTCAGGCTTAAGCAATCTTCTTGCCTTAGCGTCCCAAGTAGCTGGGAGTACAGGCGTCCACCACAACACCCAGCTATTTTTTAGAGACAGGGTCTTGCTCTTGCTCAGGTTGGTCTCGAACTTATAAACTCAAGTGATTTACCCACCTTGGCCTCCCAGAATGCTGGAATTATAGGCGTGAGCCACCATGCTTGGTTCCCTTGTCATTTCTGAGCTTCAGATGACCACAGAAGCACTCTGGTGGTGAAGAGGTCATGAGGAGCTCATTGTGGTACAAGGGCCATCTACAAGCATTAGTGGGGCCACTCCTCAGTCCCCGTCAGTGCTCACACTCCTGCGCCCTGCCATGTGGCTACTCTCTCTTGGTCATGCCCCAGAGGTCCTGACCACAGTCATCATGGGACCCTTCAAAAATGCTTTCTGGCTCATTAGCCCATGAGGTGTGCTGGCCCTGACCCCAAGAGTGAGGCTTGGGGTAGGGCAAATGTGGACACATGCAGCCTGCTTTCAGGATCAGGAAGAAATACCCGGCAATGCTTCCAAAGGAGTGAGATAGTGCATAGGGCTGTGGGAACCTTGCGAGTTTGCTGTGAAACACTGCTCTGCTTAAAAGAGCCCCTTTCCTACCATTCTGTGGAGGCATCAAATAATAAAAATAAAGCACCAGATAGCTGATTTGTCATGAGCCGTAAAGTGTTCATACCTGAGTTGCTTATGAAAAGTTAACGACTAGTCAGTTCTGGGCCAACCTATTTCTAGTCCAAGCTGTTCCTGTATTAATTCCTAAGTCTTGAGGAAAATGTTTTGCCTGGAGAGTCAGTAGTGGGACAGCATCTTGAAAGAGGGCTGGGTGCTGCCCCCACTTTAGGGAAAGAGGCAGGAGGTAGCTTGGAAACTCCTCACTGACCCACTTGGTGGTCCTAGGGTAGACTCCAAGCCAGAGGGCCAAACTAGAGCTGCCTGCACACACGGGGTCTGTTCCTGGGGCCTGCTGGCACTGTCCCTCTAAGCTGCCTTCCTGAGCCTTCACACCCAGCCTTGAAGCCCATCTCAGGCTCCAGCTGCCCCTTCCCCCTTCACCACCTTCATGGGGTTGTTTGGTCACAAGGACTACAGCATTCCTTAGGCTGAGACGTGCCCTGCCCTCGGAGGCCTTCCCCAAAGCCAAAGTTCCCACAGATAGACCTCAGAGAACAGCCAGTTCATCCAGTGCCCGGTCTTAAGAGGTTATTATGAGCAGAGAACTGGACATCCATCTATCACCTTGTTTAGTACTCAGGAAAAAAGTCTGGAAAACCCAAAACCATAGAATGAAAGAAAGACCCAGTCTGTATGGATGAGATAGTAGGGTTCTCCTTGCAAATATGTTAGTCAGATCTTTTCTCACCACCTCCACAGCTGCCATAGTGGGCCCAGCCACCACCTGCCCCATGTTAAGGGGGAGCTTTCCTTTATAGCAGCCAGATCACACCCCTTTGTGCTCAGAACCTGGCTCAGAGTTGCCAGATCATGTGTCCCAACTCCATGCAGACCTGACTCCTTTCAGCTTGCCTTGCTGTTGCGCTAGTGTGCCAAGACCTGCTTCCCCTCCTCACCAAGGCTGTCTGTCTGTCCGTTCCCTCTCTTTGAAGCCTGCTCGAATCTTATCTGCCAGCCCCATCTCTGGCCTGTGACCCCTCCCTGCTTTACGTCTTCTCATTGGCTCCCACTGCTGTCTTTGCTGCAGTGTCCCTGCTCTAGAGTGTGGGCACATGGTGGGCCCTCAGTATGTATTTATGGAATGAACTGGACAAACACTGAGCTTTCTGCAAGGACCGTATTTTGGTTCCGATTCTTTGGGTTTGACAACTAAGGTAGACACCTCCTGCCTTCCCATCCACCCAAACATAGTCCAGCTACCCGGGGTCACATGGGGGCTGGTGGAAGGGCAGAACACTGGTCTCAATTCTTGTCCCTCCTTCCCCATCCTGTCTCTTCTCTACTGCAGCCCTCAGATGGACTCTTGGCTCTTTTGCGTTCCTCAGGCCAGGATGTACTAGAATTGACCGAAGAGAAGGCTGCACTCTGAGCATGAGGCAGAGATGGAAAAGCACGTCCGGAATCTCAGCCTCAACTGACCACTTGTGCTGTGCCTCTAACAAAGTCCTTTCATCTCTGTTTTTTCTTGCTTACCCTTGGGCAATCCCTCAGGTGCCAAGAGGTGTGAATTAGCCTCTGAGGACATGGGGGGCTGCAGGGTGTGTTATGGCTCCTCTGTAAGCACCCAGTGCATTATCCGCCTGTGGCTTAGGCTCTAGGAGAACCTGAATCTGTAACAAATAAAATAATGGCTCTGGGCTGAAACAATAGGCATCATATAATTATAGAACAAAGAGCATATTGTTTTCTAGCTATAAATACTGGCTACAGAAATCAAATTTACTTCATTGGATGTGAGAAAATTACTTAAAAGGTGATTTATAAGAAGCTACATAAAACTAAACCTGCAGTCTGCCTCTCCTGAATGTCCTTTGATGGCATCTGTACTTCTCTCAGTGCTTGATTACATCCTGCGCTCGGCTCTTCATGGATAGTTTTTTTTTTTTTTTTTTGCTGTGACGCATAGAAATACATTAGCAAAATTAAGGTTTCTTCCAGAAATAAACAGATGCCAGATTAGACCACTCTTTGTATTGAGGCACATCTGTTTTGGGGAAAGAGACAGTTTTACCTTAATATGTGGTTCTTGCCTTTTAAAAAGCTATTTTCTAAGTATCTGCCCTTAATAAAGAAAATAATTAAGTGAAACTTAAGTATTAAACAAGAGTTAAGCAAAGGTGAGAAGGAGGATGTTGTCGTAGTGATACATGAGAGTCAGGTGTAAGTAACATGAAAATGAGCTATCAATGCTGAATGTTTACTGACTAAATGTTAAACACAAGGACCCCAGAGTGATACTAGAGTTTAAGTTAATACTATCAATGCTTCAAGTTAAAACCCAGCTTGGAAACATTTATTCAGAGCTTTTCCAACTTTGCCCTTCTTAGGTACATCCCTGACTATCTTTGGGGAGGACAGAGTAAGGGGGTTGATTCTGGCCCCTTGAATGTCACTAACCACTGCTTCTCCCTGCACAAACAGTTGAATGCCACGGACCAGACACTAAATGATAAGCAATGCCCAGTGATGGCCAGTTCTCAGGGACCTCTGCACT